TTTTAATTAATAATAAATAAAATCTACTATTTGGTAGTATTTTTTTTAAAAAATAAGTATCAATTACACAATTATAAGCACCAATTTAGTTCTTAAAACTTTAATTATAAGTATTAATTTGGTTTTTTAACTTTCATTACATGTCAACTTAATGTGTAAATAAAAATATATTACAATAACAACATATGACTTTTGATTTTACGTGTCATTAGTATTTAAAAAAAAAATTGATTTTGTGACAATATAATAAATTACGTGGTACTTTTATTAATTAAAGGATTTATTAATTAAATGACTATTTTGACACCAAAAAATAAAATTTCAAGAAAATTTTAATAATTTTTTTAAATTCAAGAATAATTTGGATATAAATCTAAATGTTGAAATACCAAATTAATATTTTAATCATTTACTTATGGATCTATTTGGCTCCGGCTTATAGTTGGAGTGCCAGATTGTTAATCCTTAGAAAATTTTGAGAGGTGCGCCATGCAGAAAATCCTAAATACACTAGAAATATGTTCTACTCCTTATATTTTGTGCATAGACAACATCTCCCTCTAACCGCCTCTATTCTATTCTATTCCTCCTTTTTCATGGTTGATCATTCTTCAAGTAGGTGAAGTTTGGAAGTTTCCCAATTCTTTTCTCGTGAAATTTCCATGAATGTTCGTGCAGGTCTTCTAACCAATCAGTTATGATGCAAAATTGTGAATAATTTTATTGAAAGTATAAAAATTATAAAAATTATATTAAATTAATTAAGTTATATCATAATTTTAATAGACTAAATTAATTTATGATAAAAATAACAAAGCTTAAAATTATAATTATGAATATAAAAATATCAAATAATAAATAAAAATAATTTAAAAAATTTTAATTTGAGAAAGTTAGAAATTTTAATCTTTTATGATTGTTAAATTCTTTATTATATCCTCTATTTTTATCTATAAGAGTGCACTAAAAAGCTACCAAAAGCCTTCCAAGTCTGATGATGAATAAGTATTTATAAGAATTCAAAGAAGAGACATGGGATCCACACGAAAGTAATAGAAAATTGACTGTGAATTGTAAACATGGTAAGATTAAACTTAATTTGACAATTTGATTCAACTCATCCCTTATAGAGTCTAAGATATCAATCTG